ATTCTATTCAAAGATAAGTTTAAGAATATTCTGAGGTCATTTGATGGGTGCAAATTCTCATTCTATCAGTTATACATGATGGGGAAATAGTTTGATTATTTTGTTTATTCTCTCTTTTTTGGGAACACACTATCGGACGTTCCCGTTGGCTTTTCACCAAAGTTGGCCAGTGGATTGTATCCATGCATATATATATTATTTTTTGATGGAACAGTTTCACTTCAAAATTTTATTATTTTTCCTTTTTCACGCGAGCTACTGCACCAGACACAAAACTAATTACAGAGTCGTGATGACCACCTTCGAAAGTATATACATATAATTGTGTATGAATCAGAGGCGGTACCGAAACTGGACTGTTTCTCTGCTCAGAGAATAGTCCATGGAAAAAGTAAATACTTATAGCACTTGAAAAGCTCTTTCAGTTGATGTATTCATGATCCTGTTCATTCAACCATGAATTTTAGAAATGACTATCTTGATTTCAATCAATAATAAGTAGTGCTGATTAGTGACTGCACAGGTGTAGGCTATAATCTATATTGATTTCCTTGGATTGAACTGTAGCTGTAGATCATATACTATATTGTTGTGCAAAAACGATGGCTTCTAACTATTCCTTATATCCTAGATGAAATTTTCAAAAATAGATATTCTAATAATTAATAAAAACTGGTTCTCGTTATATTATTGGATAGGTGGCCCATCTTTCGTTCAAACTATGAAAAAGATGAATTTTTATCTATCGTTATCGAATTATTTTTTCACTGTCTTTTTTCTATTGGTAGTTTTAGATAAAAACAAACTAGACTAACCACTGAGAAAAAAAAGATAATATTCCGCAAAAACGCAAGAAACGTCTCTGTAGTTACTAATGTCACGCCTAATTAAGCATTAAGCACCGCTTAATACTATTTAATCTCAGATTTGTCAGCACATTATTCACACTTGAATATACGACAAATCGGTAGCACAAAAACTTATCAACATTAATACTATTAGTATGGCTAATTACATTATTCATCATGGAAACAGACATGGGCATAATTTGATTGGTTCAGGCCTTGGCGGTGGTTATGTCTCAAGTGGATATGAAGATGGAAGCTACGGTTACGGATCTGGTGCGAGCTACGAAAGTGCAGGATATGGAGGTGCAGGCTATGGTGCAAGCGCCTATGGTGTTGATGCTGGTTTAGGAGGTGGTTATTCAGGTTATGAATCATCATCATCATCATATTCAGGTGGGTTAGATGGTGGATACAGTGGAGCCAGTTATGGAGCAGGATACGGTTTAGCCGCAGGATACGGTGGATCATCATATGAAAGTTCATCATATGGAGCTGGTAGTGCATATGCCACCGATTCTCAAGGCTTATATCAAGATTCAAATCCACAAATCATACGCCGACCGGCGCCAGGTGGAGGAGTCACGTATAAACAAAACATCTTGGTTCGATTCTTACAACCACCACCAGTTCCACCCCCAGGCGTAAGTTGTTAGTCTTTCGTTCTTTATCCATAGTACAACTAAAGATTAATTTCTCTTCAATTAATTAATCTTGGTTTTATTTATAGCCTCTCATTATTCGAGAAGTTCGCCCACCACAACCACCAGCGCCACCCCCGCTTCGCATCAGACAACAAGCACCACAACGTCCAGCCCCGTAAGTAACGATAATGTTATTTGACAAACAAATATATTAAAATCAGAAAAAAGTTTACATAAACTTTCTTATCAGAAGAAGTTGACACTTATTAATGAATAGAGAATTTCTACTTGTTAATATAGAAGAATAATAATGAAAATACTTCTAAAATAAACATTTAAATTTAGACCTCCACTTGTTCTTCGTGAACGACCACCAATACCACCCGTCAATATCGGAACTCAAACAATTATCAGACGTTTAGCCGCACTTCCAGTTCCACCACGTTCAGTCATCATTGAGCGTCTTCCACCCCTTCCACCAAGACCACGTAAGTTACAGGATCATTATAATAGTACTACATGAGTCAGATTATCTTGAGCTACAATGTTTACGATATGTTCAGGTGACATTGTCATTGAACGATGGATCCCATACGGACGTCAAGCTAAACGTCGTACAATCGTTCAACGCGCTGGTCCCGCTCGACACTATCAACGACCAAGAAATATTATTATTCAATATGAACCAATTCAAGCTCGTGTTATCAGACAATTTCAACGAATTGGAGTTCAAGCAGAAAATCCACATTCGTATGTTGCAAGATACGGTGCTTCACTTCGTGATGCTCATACATTATTGCAAGAAGCAAGACAAGCTGGTGTTGTTGAAGATATCGTAAGTCGACATGTAGAAGAAAATTTTGAAATCATAAGAGATTTTTGTTTGACTTGTTTAGAGTGCACCAGGCGTTGTTGGTATTGGATACGGAGCCTCTACTTATGGACAAGATGCATCATTCGTCGGATTCGGAGCAGGAGCCGGTTACGCTGGAGGCTACGGAAGTTCAGCCTATTCATCATCATCCGGATTCGAAGGAGGTTATGGAGGTGGATACGATGGTGGATATTCATCATCCGGATATGAAGGAGGTTACGGAGGAGGTAGGCGACGTCTTTATTCATACAGTCACTTCTGACAAAAACAATGATACTTTACACTTGAAAATACATTCATCTCACATTCTATTTGATGCTTTTAGGACTAGCCTCAGGATACAGTGGATGGGAATCATCGTCAGCATCATACTTGGGTTGAGATTGTTTCTATATGACATCACCAGTTGAAACCTAGTAGGTGAAAAATCAAAAGTTAGGAAATAATAATCTTTGTTGACCACTTTTGTTCTCGATCTCAAAAATGTAATATTTCGTTAGTATACAGACAGTACTCGATACCCCATAATAATACATATTCCAAAAAATGTATATTTATGGATATTAAAGCGATAGAATACTGGAAGAAGAAGAGATTTGTATAGAATGTAATAAATGAACACAATCTTGGTGTCGGAGGTTATGAAGGGGGATATTCAAGCGGATATTACGGCGCTGGCTTAGATCAATGGTGAATTAGTCACGTTTTCGTGGCTGATAGTCATTAAATAGCGGATATGTTTGCTTAATATCTGTCAGGTTTCAAATGACTACAGAAACAGAATTTATTATTTTATTACTATTTCTCTTTAGGGCTGCATTATTTTCTGCTCTTTTTCAACTTTCGTTTTATTTTGCTATTTTTAATTATGTTGTTGTCATTGTATTATAATTACATCGTTGAAAAACAATATAAATAAAATATATATTAGTTTGATTCGATTTTTATTCCTTGCCTTATTTACACAATAAGAGTAAATTCTTATTCATCTATGTAGTATGAATACGCAAACACATATAGAGGTGGGACAGTTACAGTTACCCTTCCTAGTAACTGGAACTGGTCACCAGTTACTGTTTTCTGCCTAATCAAGATGTAGAAAAGTTTGCATTAGAGTGCTTCGGCGCTCGATTGCGTAGTATATGGGCCAGTGTTTTTCGAGAGACACCACTCCCATTTATCAACCCAATTTTAGGATACCGTTTGACTTCAAATCTCACGCAAATCCTAGTTCGTAAAAAGCCTTCATGCAAAATCTGACAACCAAAATAATCAAACTATTTCCCCATCATGTATAACTGATAGAATGAGAATTTGCACCCATCAAATGACCTCAGAATATTCTTAAACTTATCTTTGAATAGAATGTTATCAGGGGAAATAATCCCACCATTCCATTGCTTTCCCCCACATGATGAATATGCGGGCTATTTTTTATCGTTTCCTTTATCTCTTTTTTTCGGTGGACAGAAGACCAGTGGTCTTTTATTCTGGGGAGCTGGTTAGACGACCATAGTTTTCTATTATATGGGGCGGTAGTATGGCTTGTTTACAAAGTTAACACATTTAATGAATAAAGATATTGTCTCAGTTGTCAATAGTTCGGAATTTTGTGGTTGCAACTGTGTCTTCAAAGATCTATCTTTTGGATATGAATCATAAATTTTGTTTAGTTATCTATTTCTTTTCTTTCTAGTTTGATTGAAGATGCATACCTACATAAAACCGTTTGTTTGTCGCTTTTGTTCGATTCTTTTTCACATTTTTCTTGTGTTATATATACAATATACGTCTACGGAAAAACAAACCACAGTAGAATATTTTGAATGATACATTATATTATGCAAGTTATTTCAATAAACAGATTAAAAAATCGTTTTTATTATGTGAAAAGAACAATGCACATAGACAATTTAGTACTATTGAAGGATAAACCGTATCCTTGAAACACCTATGTATGTCACTGTAATTTGTATATCTTATGCTCACAAAGGTAACTATTAAATACATTCAGCATTAGTTCACGTTTCGATGATAATACGATCAAAAAGATTTGTTTATTTTCGTTTATCGTATAGGTTAAGTGCATCGTAAGCACAAATGGGGAAGAACGACACAATGCAGAAATGCTGAAAAGCCTATAGTCTTGTATATTATTTGTTTATAACTAGCAAGGAATTGTTAGAGATTTGGGTAATCTTCTGGAATTTCTCAAATATATACTTTAACTCTTGTTTATTCTCTCTTTTTTGGGAACACACTATCGGACGTTCCTGTTGACTTTTCACTAAAGTATGCCAGTGGATTGTAACTATGCATATATGACCTTAAAACAAAATATACAACAAAAGTATTAAGCATTATCATCCGTTCTTGCCTATTGATCATTGTTTTTCACGCGAGCTACTGCACCAGACAAAAAACCAATTACAGAGTGGTGATGACCACCTTCGAAGGTATATACATATAATTGTTTATAAAAACATACGGGGTTCCGACTTCACAGAAAAAGTAAATACAGCATCTTATAGCACTTGAAAAGCTCTTTCAGTTGATGTATTCATGATCCTGTTAATTTCACCATGGATTTTAGAAATGAATATCTTGATTACAATCAATAATAAGTAGTGCTGATTAGTGACTGCATAGGTGTGAGACTATAATCTATATTGATTTCCTTGAACTGAACGGTAACTGTGGATCATATACTATACTCATGTGCAAAAATGATGACTTCTAATTGTTCTCCCCTTAGTGTTTTTTAAGCAAGAACTTTTGGGTTCATTAAAAAATCGAAAGGGTTTGTGAGGAAACCAATGGACTTTTCATCCCAAGTGTGACACCCTGACAGTTTATTAAGTCAACTCCGATACCGTTTTGTTGTTTATAAAAACGCTTTTTTATAATTCGGAAGGCTATATTAAGAAACCCTATCGCTGATAAACCATTAAGTGCTCAGGAAAACTGTCAATAAACTTTTTTCCATTCCGGAGGGAAAATGCGTAACAATTAGAATTTTTTAAGGTGTACCCGTTAAGACATGTCACACAATCTTGGAAAACACACCAAAAAATCAAGTCTTTGAATTCTTGAGAATTCACCTTAAGAATAGAAATTTCAAGATCTAAAGTGAATCGAGTTAAAATATTTCAGAGTATTATAATGAAAATACTTTTACATTTTCTTTCTTATTTGACAACCACAACCATCAGACACACAATCACATGTCGTCATAGGCTCATATGTCAACAGCTTTGCTCAAGAAAGGCAAAATGTCGAAGTTATTGAGAGTATGAAAACTTTCGCAGTTATCCGTATAAGCAAGAGTATATGAAACAAAACGATGAGTCAAGAATTATTCCAAGCCTGGTATAAGAACTCAACAAATTTTAAGACTATCATTGTGGATGTTACTAAAAACATTTTAGAAGTCAAGATCTTGGTTACAAGAAGTTTCGCTAAGGTAGCAGACGGAATTTTAACGTTGATT